TGGTGATTTAAAAAATCAATTGTTTTTGCCTATGCATGTTCATTCATGTCTTTTTATTTTTTTAAAGAAATTGAGTCCCGATGTCCTCTAGAGATGACATAGCATAACTTATGAATGAAATATCTTTTTACATTATTTTACATCATTTTTAATGCTCTAAACAATGTAAAGACATGGAAAAAAATTACTTTTTCCAAAAACTTTTTTCTCGGGTCTTAAGAGGTTAAATCTTAAGTCGCTGGGGTATATTTGTAGCAATAGCCAAAAACTACATTGTATGGGTCAAAATCATAGATTTTTCTTTTATGCCAAAAATCATTAGGATATTAAGTACAGATCTTGTTCCATGAAGATATTTAGTAAATTTCCTACCATAAATATATCAAAACTTAATTTTTGATTAGTAACATACATTGCTAAGGACTTCATTTGGACAACTTTAAAGATGATTTTCTCAATATTTTGATTTTTTTCGCATCCTCAGATTCCAGATTTTCAAATAGTTGTATCTCGGCCAAATATTGTTCTATCATAACAAACCATGCATCAATGGAAAGCTGATTTATTCAGCTTTCAGATGATGTATACATCTCAATTTCAAGAAATTGACCCTTATGACTGGTTTTGTGGTCCAGGGTCACAAATAAGCACAAATCAATTAGCAATAGCACATCTGAACAAAGATACAAATTAAATAAGCATTGCTTTTCAGGTTTTCAGGTCTATTTAGGTACGGAAAATGAAGCCAAATGTAAAATAACGCTGCTCAGTCTTCACCCAACCCAATTGGTTGAGGTACAAGACTTAAAATTGGGGTCAGATTAAATTGTTGGAAGTTGGGAGTGTTTAAAAAGATGAGAAAAGCAACAGTAAAAAAGTGTATAATTTTACGATATTCACATAAAACTTAAAAAAACTACTTTGGTGATTTTGAAGTCCATTAGCACCATATCATAAAACAGTCCTTAAGAATAGAGTGCTGTCAGTTCCAATGTGAAATTGTCTACTGGTGCATATATGTATACAATCCTCAGAAGTGATTATTGAGCTCAATTGAGTTCTCTTGAATGTAGTGCTTGAAGTGGGAAAAAAGAAGTGATGTTACCCCTTCCCCACCCCCTTCTTATTGATTGATTGATTTAATAAATAAATAAGTACTTTTTAATTTTCATAATTCACAATGTATAGTAAATGTATAGTGTTACAATCAATCAATAATTAAATGTTTTCAATACAAATAAGCACAAGACAAGCTGAGATACCAAACAGGATCACAAGGAGACACCAAAGACCACTAAACTGCCTGCCTGTACTAATACAGATCCATTTAGAATCGCTAAACCACTGACCATCACATAATCTAAAACACCTTCAGCAGCATCCATTATAAAGTGCTCTTGCTTTTAAGCCAAATACATGCTGAAAAGTATAATTTAATGACATTCTGTACGTAAGTCATTCTCTCCGTAATCTCTGATGAAATTGTCTGTGTGTTCTCTGCATTAACACTGTTTTGTACTTACTGTTTGAATTCACTACACTCTTACACATAAAGGTGCTTCAAAAGGTTCTTCACAGTGATGCCATAGAAGAACAATTTTTGGTTCCACAAAGAACCATTCAGTCAAAGGTTCTTTAAAGAACCATTTCTTTCTTACCTTTTTATAATCTGAAGAACCTTTTTTCACCACAAAGAAGCGTTTGTGAAACAGACAGGTTCTTCTGATGTTAAAGGTTCTTTATGAAACATTTTAGACAAGAAGGTTCTTCTATGGCATCGTGAAGCACCTTTATTTTTAAGAGTGTACTGGATCCTTGGACTTTCCAGGACTTTACCAGTTTAAAATGACATTAAAAAACTGCTTCCTTTCATTTTTAAGGTATTGTTTTCATTATAATATACTGATTAACATTAGTAACCAATAATTAATTATTATTCTACCTCCCCTGACATGCTCTCGTACCCCACACACTGAAAACCCCTGAGACCGCTTGCATTCATTCATGTGAATTATCAAGATGAGAGGTGACCCCGCCTGGTAGTGTGATTTATTTAGTGTCATTTCTAATCACCCAGACATTGACGCTTTGACACTGAGTACCGGCAACATTCGCAACACTCGCTTTGATTTCCCTTTTTGTTTGCGGTGTGAGCATCTGAATGTTATTTTAAACCATTCAAGTGCACTAAGACATACAAGAAGTGCTTGAAGTGGGCCGGTACGCAGTACTTCTGTATTTGGTCTTTAGCGTACCGGCCCACTTCAAGCACTTCTTGTATGTCTTAGTGCACTTGAATGGTTTAAAATCACATTCAGATGCTCACACCGCAAACAAAAAGGGAAATCAAAGCGAGTTTCCATTTCCTTATCTTAAATTCCCAACCCTAGCACAGACACAGCCCACAGGTTCAAATATGCTGTTCATGGCAGGGGCGGAGCCAGGATGTTTTCATAGGGGTGGCAAGGAAGGGGCCAGAAACCAGTTTGGAGTGGCACTTTATTATTTCAATTTACAATTGTGCACTGGACTGTTTAAGTACCTAAATCACAACTAAATACAATTTAAATATGACATTTTTCCTCACCTCCAGGTATTTTAATAGAGGGGCTCACTATAACGTAATTGCTCAGTCAGCTTGGTTCTAGTTCTCAGCACCCTCAACACCTTGTTCTCCATCATTGCATACTCATGAATAAGACTACAAATAACTACATAGTTCAAAGTTTAGTCGACCTTCACTGAATTTTATATAATCAATGAACTCTAAAAAAGTAAATAGTGAATGTTTAACATTCTATTAGTTGTCGAAATAAATTAGGCTAATTGCAACAGTTCTATATCAAAATTGAACTCTGTACAAAGGAAAAGGGGTAAAAAAAACAGTTCTCTTTTGAATCCCCATGTGCAAGGATGTGAAAAAGGCAGAAATCAATAGCACATTAATGCCAAAATGTAAAATGAGTTATTTTATACATTTAAATAATTTTCGTTTCATTTTCGTACTTTACAAATTAACGAAAAATAAGCACCCATTTTCTAGTACAAGTGCACTGTACTCGCGTTTACTTGTGTATTAAATTGCAAATAATAAATACATATCAGCTTGAGCCTTATATTGTGATCTCGAATTGCAGAATATCCCATTTTAATAACCTATTGAAATACTTTCTGAAATGTAATGCATACATGCATGCACAGTTTTGCAGCTTTTAATCGCCTTTTTGGTCATTTCATGACTTGACTGACAGAACTACGACATTGTATGCTCGTAGTTTCTTGCGCACTTTATTTATGATGAAGTGATATAGTGTCCCGTTTATGGTCCTGTTTGGTTCCTGTTTTTCTTTATTTGGTCATGTTGTGTTGTGTGCCTGTGTTCATTAGTTCCTTTGCTCATTGTCTAATAATTAGTCAACCTGTATCACCTGTTCTGCCCCTTATCTACACTCCTATTTTAGTTCCTGTGCTTCCCCCATTAGATGGTCGGTTATTGCATATATTGATGTTTATATTACGCCTGGGAGCAAGTACCTTCTTTGAGTTCCCTATTAAATTCTAAAAGTGGATTGTTCGCCTCATCTTAGTCTTCCTTGCTGCAGCTACGTGACACATAGAGCGTGCGCTGCATAGCACAGTAGGCTAAAATGGCTGACAGGACAGGAACAGTTTTTGTTTTTGTTTTACTGACATATAGCCTAACAATATCTCATCAGACCGCAGTTCACTGTTGTTGTACTGTTCAACTGTACCTTGCGCCTGGCGCTTAGGGGAAGTTGAAGTGCACATCTGAAAAGTCTCCTGTTTGTTGTGGTCATAAAGATGGCGGTTCTGCGTAAACAAATAAACCCATTTCTTGTCAACTAAAAAAAAAGAGACAAAAATTGCAGTTTCCCAACAATTTCCCCTCCGCGCTCTGAGCATTTAATAATCACTCCGCTCAGGGTTCACCATTTCCCGCTCCCGCTCCACTCCACTCCTCGCTCACTGATATCAGAAACACCGTTCTGCGGCTCAAGTATTTCAGTATGTTTGAAATATCACAGTTCTGTTCATAGCGTACATTATAAGAAAAAAATAAAATAAATAAAATAACAGGAGAGTAGTTTCAAAGTGGCTTATTGGAACACTAGTGTGCAAACTTTTTTCCTACCACATGACAAGCTAATAACATGGTTGTCAGCATTAAAAGGTATAATTGCTGCTTTTTGCAGTGCAAATTTTGTTTGTGATGAAAATGACAGTACATTTTTGTCACTTATAATGCCTACGGATCGCTGCATTTCTTACAGATTTCTGCTCATTCGAAATCAGATACAGATGAAGTAGCACTGAAAGATTATATTTGTTTGAATGTGTTATTGAGAGAGCGATTGCGTGTGAATAAGTGTTGTAGTACTTGTTTAAATCATGCTTTCAGCTGAAAATATACAGTATCTAGAAGGAACAATCAAATTCCTTGAGAACTATAACTTCCCGCTCATGTCCATTGCTGTCATCATAGCCTTCACATTCTTTCTGATCCTTCTCCATCAAGCTAAATAGGCTGTTTAACGTGTGAATTCTTGCTAACTATGCAGTGATATTACAAGCCGTTGGCATGAATTGTACTCGTGATGGAGCAGTGGTGGAGTGCTCTCGGAGCGAGTGAAAACCACAAAGCTCCGGCTTTTAAAAAAAATCTGCTCCTCCCTCCATTCAAAATCACACCACTCCACTCACACTCCGCTTCGCTCACAAACTCTGATTGGAAATCACAGGTATACTCAATTGTGTTTCAGTGATCACAGTTTTTCTAACTTGTGTGCTAGTGATTAAATGTGTATTCCCTTTTGTTGCAATACTTGCATGCATGCAGAAACGATACAACAGGTGATATAATTTTAAATCATTTGATATATTAGTGATGCTTCACAGGGGTGTATTCACTTCTTTTCTATACTGTAATTATAAATCCACATACAAACAATTGTTTCCCTTTCCTTCAACCAGCAGTGGAAAAAGGTCAGAAAAAAATCATTAGACCATGCCAGTCTGCTGTTAACAACAATCAAAAAATGTCAAGAGAAAACGCAAGCAGCAAAACCACGGGAAAAGACCACAGCAATGGAAAGGGCTTAAGGGTTGCACATAATATAAAGAACAACTGGAGCAGAAAAATAGAAGGTGGAAGCAATGAAAACCTACCCATGTTTAAACTCAATCTGGATGAAACATGGCAGAACAGCGATGGGTTCTGCAGAAGAAGCACATTTAGTGGGCCGGTACGCAGTACTTCTGTATTTGGTCTTTAGCGTACCGGCCCACTTCAAGCACTTCTTGTATGTCTTAGTGCACTTGAATGGTTTAAAATCACATTCAGATGCTCACACCGCAAACAAAAAGGGAAATCAAAGCGAGTTTCCATTTCCTTATCTTAAATTCCCAACCCTAGCACAGACACAGCCCACAGGTTCAAATATGCTGTTCATGGCAGGGGCGGAGCCAGGATGTTTTCATAGGGGTGGCAAGGAAGGGGCCAGAAACCAGTTTGGAGTGGCACTTTATTATTTCAATTTACAATTGTGCACTGGACTGTTTAAGTACCTAAATCACAACTAAATACAATTTAAATATGACATTTTTCCTCACCTCCAGGTATTTTAATAGAGGGGCTCACTATAACGTAATTGCTCAGTCAGCTTGGTTCTAGTTCTCAGCACCCTCAACACCTTGTTCTCCATCATTGCATACTCATGAATAAGACTACAAATAACTACATAGTTCAAAGTTTAGTCGACCTTCACTGAATTTTATATAATCAATGAACTCTAAAAAAGTAAATAGTGAATGTTTAACATTCTATTAGTTGTCGAAATAAATTAGGCTAATTGCAACAGTTCTATATCAAAATTGAACTCTGTACAAAGGAAAAGGGGTAAAAAAAACAGTTCTCTTTTGAATCCCCATGTGCAAGGATGTGAAAAAGGCAGAAATCAATAGCACATTAATGCCAAAATGTAAAATGAGTTATTTTATACATTTAAATAATTTTCGTTTCATTTTCGTACTTTACAAATTAACGAAAAATAAGCACCCATTTTCTAGTACAAGTGCACTGTACTCGCGTTTACTTGTGTATTAAATTGCAAATAATAAATACATATCAGCTTGTGCCTTATATTGTGATCTCGAATTGCAGAATAGCCTATTTTAATAACCTATTGAAATACTTTCTGAAATGTAATGCATACATGCATGCACAGTTTTGCAGCTTTTAATCGCCTTTTTGGTCATTTCATGACTTGACTGACAGAACTACGACATTGTATGCTCGTAGTTTCTTGCGCACTTTATTTATGATGAAGTGATATAGTGTCCCGTTTATGGTCCTGTTTGGTTCCTGTTTTTCTTTATTTGGTCATGTTGTGTTGTGTGCCTGTGTTCATTAGTTCCTTTGCTCATTGTCTAATAATTAGTCAACCTGTATCACCTGTTCTGCCCCTTATCTACACTCCTATTTTAGTTCCTGTGCTTCCCCCATTAGATGGTCGGTTATTGCATATATTGATGTTTATATTACGCCTGGGAGCAAGTACCTTCTTTGAGTTCCCTATTAAATTCTAAAAGTGGATTGTTCGCCTCATCTTAGTCTTCCTTGCTGCAGCTACGTGACACATAGAGCGTGCGCTGCATAGCACAGTAGGCTAAAATGGCTGACAGGACAGGAACAGTTTTTGTTTTTGTTTTACTGACATATAGCCTAACAATATCTCATCAGACCACAGTTCACTGTTGTTGTACTGTTCAACTGTACCTTGCGCCTGGCGCTTAGGGGAAGTTGAAGTGCACATCTGAAAAGTCTCCTGTTTGTTGTGGTCATAAAGATGGCGGTTCTGCGTAAACAAATAAACCCATTTCTTGTCAACTAAAAAAAAAGAGACAAAAATTGCAGTTTCCCAACAATTTCCCCTCCGCGCTCTGAGCATTTAATAATCACTCCGCTCAGGGTTCACCATTTCCCGCTCCCGCTCCACTCCACTCCTCGCTCACTGATATCAGAAACACCGTTCTGCGGCTCAAGTATTTCAGTATGTTTGAAATATCACAGTTCTGTTCATAGCGTACATTATAAGAAAAAAATAAAATAAATAAAATAACAGGAGAGTAGTTTCAAAGTGGCTTATTGGAACACTAGTGTGCAAACTTTTTTCCTACCACATGACAAGCTAATAACATGGTTGTCAGCATTAAAAGGTATAATTGCTGCTTTTTGCAGTGCAAATTTTGTTTGTGATGAAAATGACAGTACATTTTTGTCACTTATAATGCCTACGGATCGCTGCATTTCTTACAGATTTCTGCTCATTCGAAATCAGATACAGATGAAGTAGCACTGAAAGATTATATTTGTTTGAATGTGTTATTGAGAGAGCGATTGCGTGTGAATAAGTGTTGTAGTACTTGTTTAAATCATGCTTTCAGCTGAAAATATACAGTATCTAGAAGGAACAATCAAATTCCTTGAGAACTATAACTTCCCGCTCATGTCCATTGCTGTCATCATAGCCTTCACATTCTTTCTGATCCTTCTCCATCAAGCTAAATAGGCTGTTTAACGTGTGAATTCTTGCTAACTATGCAGTGATATTACAAGCCGTTGGCATGAATTGTACTCGTGATGGAGCAGTGGTGGAGTGCTCTCGGAGCGAGTGAAAACCACAAAGCTCCGGCTTTTAAAAAAAATCTGCTCCTCCCTCCATTCAAAATCACACCACTCCACTCACACTCCGCTTCGCTCACAAACTCTGATTGGAAATCACAGGTATACTCAATTGTGTTTCAGTGATCACAGTTTTTCTAACTTGTGTGCTAGTGATTAAATGTGTATTCCCTTTTGTTGCAATACTTGCATGCATGCAGAAACGATACAACAGGTGATATAATTTTAAATCATTTGATATATTAGTGATGCTTCACAGGGGTGTATTCACTTCTTTTCTATACTGTAATTATAAATCCACATACAAACAATTGTTTCCCTTTCCTTCAACCAGCAGTGGAAAAAGGTCAGAAAAAAATCATTAGACCATGCCAGTCTGCTGTTAACAACAATCAAAAAATGTCAAGAGAAAACGCAAGCAGCAAAACCACGGGAAAAGACCACAGCAATGGAAAGGGCTTAAGGGTTGCACATAATATAAAGAACAACTGGAGCAGAAAAATAGAAGGTGGAAGCAATGAAAACCTACCCATGTTTAAACTCAATCTGGATGAAACATGGCAGAACAGCGATGGGTTCTGCAGAAGAAGCACATTTGGGGACAACATCACAAAAGGGAATAAGACCATTATGATGATCGGAGCCACAGGTGCAGGAAAAACCACTCTAATTAACAGCATGATCAACTACATTCTGGGAGTGCAATGGAAAGATGACTTCCGGTTTGTGCTAATAGATGAAGGGAAGCAGAAATCTCAGGCTGAAAGTCAGACGTCAGAAATCACAGCTTATCAAATTAATTACATGGATGGTTTCCGGGTCCCATATTCTCTGACCATTGTGGATACACCAGGCTTTGGTGACACCAGAGGAATTGCACATGACCAGAAAATCACAGCACAGATTCATGAGTTCTTCTCTGCCCGTGGAGGGTTCGACTGCATTGATGCTGTGTGTTTTGTAGTACAGGCTTCACTTGCCCGTCTAACACACACACAGAAATATGTATTTGACTCCATTCTTTCCATATTTGGGAAGGACATTGCGCAAAACATCCTTGTGCTGGTCACCTTTGCAGATGGGAAAACACCTCCTGTTCTGGAGGCCATCAAAGTCGCTGAGGTGCCCTGCTCTACCAATGAGTCTGAAGAGCCTCTTCACTTCAAGTTCAACAACTCTGCTCTGTTTGCTACCAATAGCACATCTTCAGATGATGAGGAGTCTGACTGTGAAAACTTTGATGAAATGTTCTGGAAGTTGGGTTTTTCCAGCATGAAGAAGTTCTTCACATCCCTTAACACGATGAAAACCCAGAGCTTGTCTCTCACACAGGAGGTCTTAAAAGAGCGGCAGCAGCTAGAAGTGCAGGTGCAGGGTCTCCAGCCCCAAATCAATGCTGATCTGACAAAACTGGATGAAATCAAGAAAACCACAGCTGCTTTGGAGCAGCACAAGGCGGAAATGGATGCAAACAAGGATTTTGAATATGAATTAGAAGTAACTGTCCCAAAACAGATTGAAAACAACACTAGCTACTACTTAACCAACTGCCAAAAATGTCACTTCACATGTCATGACACATGTGCTTATGGAAATGACAGTGATAAATATAAGTGCTGGGCCATGAAAGATGGAAAGTGTACGGTCTGTCCTGGAAAGTGTGCCTGGAATGTGCACTTTAATCAGAAATACAAATGGGATTATGTTCCAGAAAAGAGAACGGAAACTTATCAGGAATTAAAAAAGCGATTTGAGGATGCACATGGACAGGTCATGTCAAAAGAAAAGATCTTCGAAGAGCTTGAAAAGGAGTTTCAGGTTGTCCAGGATATTGTGGCCGCACTAATAAAGGGATCTCAAAAGTCCTTGGAGCGGCTTCAGGAAATTGCCCTCAAACCCAATCCTCTGTCCACCCCTGACTACATTGATCTGATGATTGAGTCTGAGAAACAAGAGGCTAAGTCTGGATTTCAAGATCGCATTCAGTCTTTAAGAGAAGTCAGGAAGAAGGCAGAGATCATCAGTAAGGTTTCCATAGGAGGAGTGCTTCCAGATGATTGGAATTATTACAAACCTGAAGCAAGAAAAAAAGGAGTATCCTTTGATCCAAGGGTCCTGCTCAATAATGCAGTGAATTATTTCAGGAAAAAATTAGCAGGAAATTAAATAAAATACAAATTTTATTTCTAAAGCACATTTAAAACAACTGCATTTGATCAAAGTGCATTCCAACATCATTAATACAACAAAACAATTTCATACAGTCAGACTTTAAAATTAAAGTCACTAAAATTAAGTCACTCTAATCAATTCTAAAAGCTATACTAAAAAGATGTGATTTCAATCTAGACTTAAAAGCATCCACAGATGGGGAAGATTTAATGTGCATTAGAAGAGGGTTCCATAAAAGAGGACCAGCCACTGGTTTTAGGAACATGAAGAATCATCTGACTCGAAGATCTCATATTTCGATAAGGAATCAAAATATTTTGGGGCAATGCCATGCAACGCTTTAAAAACCATCAACAAAATCTTAAATCTCAATGCACAAATCTCCAATGCAAACTGAAAATGATCTATCATTTAAATATGATTTAAAACCTATCTAAGGCAATCTAATACCAACATCTTCCAAACACTGCAATTAAATGTCATATTCAATGGTATCAAATGCAGCTGTGAGATCAAGCAAAATAAGGAATACTACGTTTCCAGAATCAGAATTGTCGGTCTAGTGTGCGTTCATGCTTCAACTGTGCTAGAAAGAAATAGGCTCAAAACTATTAAATGAACTCCTATGATTTAACTCTGAACATAAATTTGTTACTGGAGTAATCTGTGACAGAAGATTATCAACGTTATTTACAAAATAAATTTTTTTTTGATTAGCCTCTAGGCAATTAATTAAAAAAAAATTGTAATTAAAAAAATCACTTTATTAATTGTACTAAATAAAATATTTTTTTAATTTTGATTAATTATATTAGAAAAATATTTTACTTTTGGAGCCTTTACTGAAAATTTGCCAAGGTTTCTCTTAAAATTTCAAATGATACTTGTTGCCTATCATTCTTCCATTTTCATTTTTGCCCTTCTGCAAATTTGCCTAAAAATATGGATTTCACTATTCATCCTGTGACTGAGTTTTTGATTCCCTGTATTTTAAGGGTGTAATCTCATCTAAAATTAGGAATCTTGGTGTGATTCTGGAGACAGACCTTAATTTCAGTAGTCATGTCAAAGCTGTAACTAAATCAGCATAATATCATCTCAAAAACATTGCAAGAATTAGATTTTGTTTCCAGTCAAGACTTGGAGAAACTTGTTCATGACTTTCTCACCAGCAGGGTGGACTATTGTAATGGTCTCCTCACCGGCCTTCACAAGAAGACCATTAGACAGCTGCAGCTCATCCAGAACACTGCTGCCAGAATTCTGACTAGAACCAGAAAATCTGAGCATATTACACCAGTCCTCAGGTCCTTACACTGGCTTCCAGTTATATTTAGGATTGATTTTAAAGTACTTTTACTCGTTTATAAATCACTCAATGGCCTAGGACCTAAATATATAGCAGATATGCTCACTGAATATAAACCTAACAGACCACTCAGATCATTAGGATCGAGTCAGTTAGAAATACCAAGGGTTCACACAAAACAAGGGGAATGTGCTTTTAGTTATTATGCCACCCGCAGTTGGAATCAGCTTCCAGAAGAGATCAGATGTGCTAAAACATTAGTCACATTTAAATGCAGACTCAAAACTCATCTGTTTAGCTGTGCATTTATTGAATGAGCACTGTGCGATGTCCGAACTGATTGCACTATATTATATGTATAATTGTTTTCTTAAATTCATTTTAAACCTCTTAAATCAATTTTTTTTAAATAATTTTCAAAGTTTTTAAATTCCTTGTTTTATTGTTGTGATTATTGTTTTTATTTTATTTTATGTAAAGCACTTTGAATTACCATTGTGTATGAAATGTGCTATACAAATAAACTTGCCTTGCCTAAAATGTCTGTACAAACAGAATTAAAATAAATAAAATACTGATCAATACTAAGGTCCGGAGAGGAAAACTCTAAATCATGATAGAATTATGGTGGTGGGACATAATGGTGGGGAATGAATCAGTTCATTTAAATGATAAGGCACGGGACTTTTTAAACTGCTAATCTATCTATAATCTATATATAATCTTATCTATAAATATACTATAACTTTTGATTTTGTTGTTAACGTGTCAAATGCATGCAGAAGGAGACACTGTTTCTGAAGGGAATGCGCCCCCGATCTACATAAATTAGTACTACATAAATAAAAACTGTAAGGTTTTTTTAATGAATCTTTGCAAATCGCCTTTCCTAATAATGTGCTAATTAGCAAGTTTCACGATGAATGCGGCTAAAGTAAACAGTCTCTCTGGCAAGAGAGGGGCGGGGTCAGCAGAGCTCATTAACATTTAAAGGAAAATGCTACAAAAACTGCGTGCTCTGAACAGAGCTAATTTTGACTGGTTAAAATTTCTCAATGGTAGTGTAAAAAACACCTTTTTTACTCTAACTATGTTACAGACTTTTCATTAAGACCCTAAAGAATCATATCAACTTGTGGGAAATAGGCATCCTATGACCCCTTTAATATAGTCTTGTTTGTATCACACTTGAGGTTCATCATTGTTTTGCTCATAACTGGAGTCTCTAATCATACTGATCACAGCTACTGACAGTGTTGGATAATTCGAAAGGACATTCATTTTATCTTAATAATTTGCCTTAATAAACAGATACCCCTCTGAAGGTTGAATCTGGCTGACATACTAAAACTACATTTCAGAGAGCAGTTACTGTATGCATAAAGAGTCCTGATGGCATTATAAAAAACAAAAAACATATTTTCAAAGACAATGTAGAATAAAAGCATGCTTCACTGTGTCGAATGCCTTGTAGAAGTAAAAAAAAATCAAATCAGAATCGTCAAGGATATCTAAAATTAATCTGATATTATTATTATAAATGTGCCTACTTTTAAAGCCAGCCTGAGATTCATCGATTAAATAGCTCATAACTTTCTGTAATCTTTGGACACAAATTTGAGTGAAAAGTTTGTAATCAGTGTTAAGTAAACAGATTAGATGCCAGATTTCAATAAGAAGTGGATCCTTTTTATCTTTTGGGATCAGAGAAATCGCACCTTGTGTCGAAGGAAGAGATCTCAGAAAACTCTCTGCATAGACTTCTGCAAGGAACAGAGCTAAAAGTTCAGAGGATGTCTTATAAAACTCTGCTGTGATACCAACATTCCCTGGAGACTTGCTGACTTTGTTGATTGCATTATAGATTTCTCAAGAGAGATAGGCTCGTCACATCAATTTTTCTCATACTTGTGCATCTTTTCTGGCATCTTCCTACTGAAATAATCATTTAGCGCTGCTGCAGCGAGCATGTGAGGAAAATATGATGAATTCATTCAGACCTGAGCGATGTTGAGTGCTTTTGTGTGTTTATTTGTGTGACTGTTTCAATGTTTGAAGAGAGAACTGCTACTGAATGTCAAATCAAAAGTCAAAGTTTGAGATGTGTGAGGGGAATTGATGGGTATCGGTATCAAGCGTTGCTGCTGTGATTTGATTTCTATTCTTCTGACATCTGTGACAGATCAAATTTGTTACTTTACATTGTTAAAATATACTGGAACAGAAACTGCTAAATACTTTACGCTGAGCCTATAATGAGCCACGTGAGACATTTTAAATCTATGTTAAATAGATAAATATGAGTACATTTTAACAAAGGAAACAATATATTCCTTGTGCTGCTCATCAGGAAGAGCTGAAATCTGCAAAGACTGAGTTTATTAAAGAGGACAGAGAGAAGATGAGAGATCCAGAGCCCTGCAGAATCAAACACACTGAAGATACTGAAGAACTAACAGGTTGGTGTTTAATCTTCATTCATAATGCTGAAGGTAATAAAGCTTGAGGCAGCTTTAATTCTGGATTTATTGTAATAGGAAATTTTTTTTAGAGCTGTTGAATAATCTTGCTGAAGCCGCAAACAATAAGGGACACTTCTATCTCGCAAGAGTCTCTGTTTTTATATGCAGTAATATTAGGACTTTTGTCTGTGATGCATTTGTGTTATTCTCAGAGGAGCTACAGAGCGCTCAACATGAAAGCCCTGTTTAATTGTGATGATAGAGCAGAGAACTAAACAATCAAACCTCTGCTTACACTTTAGGCCTGTGGCTGTGATATTAAGCTAATTTTATTGTTGATTTTGTTAAGATATCAGATAAAAGTATTAAATACTTTCCCTTCACAGCGGTGCACATTAGTTTTTCCCTAAAACCCAAAATTAACGTCAGAATCAGCACAATCGGGGATTGTTGTAAAATGAAGTCTTTACTGTTGCTAAATTGCGGGACATGTTAACATGATAAAACGTTGAAAGCACAATAATCCACACGAAAGACACTGTTCCCCAGGCTGAGTTGTGTGTGTGTGGGGTCCAAAACAGACAAGCAAAGTACACTTTGGGCTTCGGGTGTGCGTCGAAACGATCAAATACACACAAAAATATGTCAAAAGTGCCCGACAGTACTCACTTAAACACAGTTTATGTCTTAAGTGAACATGAGCACCTGGAAGAAAATCTGATGTGTGTGAATATATGCAGTCACCTTCTGAAGATTGAGCCAGCAATGTTAATCAAACAACAAAATCACTCACAGCTCATGTTGTTTATTACTGCATATAATTCATTCAAATAGAAGTTGAATTTCATTTAGTAAAAGTTGATTTCAAAATGCACCTACATTTTTTGCATTTTGTGTTTTTCAGTTGAAAAATAAACACAATGCAGTTGATTTCCTTATATATTTCATCATTGAGGATTTCTTTAAAAAAGTCTAAATATCTCGTCTCGTCTCGTGTCTCGTCACACACCTACTGAACAGTAATGTTAGCAGACCTCCATGAAAAAATTAAAGGACTTTTTTTTTGCATTTGTATCTTTGTTTTATTGTATTTTACAGTTTGATTTACTTTGTTACTTTGTTTGTGTTCTTATTGTATCTTATGTAAATAAAACACTAAAAATGTGTGCATACTGGTGCATTTACAAATTGATGTTTTATATTCATTTCATTTAATAAAATGTATTTTACATTTTAGAATATAAACAAATGTTAAAAATAAAATAATCATTCAATAATTATAATCGAGTTAAAGTCTATTTCCGCTATTATATCATTGTTAATTTTTATGTCCTTTCACAGTTTATTTTTTATTTTTTTATGAGTTACTAAAAAAAGATTTTTTTTTTATTTAATTTCAGAGTCAGTTGAAGAAAATGAAGAGAATGAAGAATCAAGTGAAGTTGAGGAGAAAAATCATGTCAAAACTGGGGAAAAACCTTTGAGTTGCTCTCAAACCAAAGACCCAAAGAAAGATTTAAAGATAAAAAGAGACAAGGAATCTTTCATCTGCACTCAGTGTGGAAAGAGTTTGACAAGCAAATATAATCTTGATGTTCACTTGAGAGTTCATACTGGAGAGAAACCATTCACTAGTGATCAGTGCGGGAAGAGTTTCACACAATCATCAAACCTTAAGAAACACATGAACATCCACACTGGATGGAAGCGGCACACATGTGATCAATGCGGCAAAACATTTTTGAGAGCTTCATACCTGAAGCAGCACCTGAGAGTTCATACAAAGGAGAAGCCACATTCATGTTATTTGTGTGGAAAGAGCTTTTCATTACTACAACATTTAAAAGTACATCAGAAAATACATACTGGTGTGAGAGAGTACATGTGCTTTGAGTGTGAAAAGACTTTTACTACAGCGAGCAGTTTAAAACAGCACCAGATGATTCACACTGGAGAGAAACCTTACAAGTGTTCACACTGTGACAACAGATTCAGTCATTCAGCAAATCTGAAAACACATGAGAGGATTCACACTGGAGAGAAACTGTACACATGTTACCAGTGTGGGAAGAGTTTCACACTAAAAGGAGAACTTACAGAGCATATAAGAGTTCATACTGGAGAGAAACCATTCACTTCTAATCAATGCGGGAACAGTTTCACACAATCATCGAGCCTGAAGAAACACATGAACATCCACACTAGAGAGAAACTGTACACATGTGATCAGTGCAGAAAAACATTTTTGAGAGCTTCATACCTGAAGAAACACCTGAGAGTTCATACAAAGGAGAAGCCGCATTCGTGTTATTTGTGTGGAAAGAGTTTTTCTTGTTTACAATATTTAAAAGTACATCAGAAAATACATACTGGTGTGAGAGAGTACATGTGCTTTGAGTGTGAAAATACTTTTACTACAGCGCAGTGTTTAAAACAGGATGAGAGGATCCACACTGGAGAGAAACCTGAGTGTTCACACTGTGACAAGAGATTCAGTGATTATTCAAGTCTGAAAACACACGAGAGCAATCTGGACAAATCTGTCCTAACCAGACGTTACAAGAAACATGACAAAGAAACATTACCTAAAGTTTTCACAGTGCCTCCCCAAAGAACAATGTCTCAGTTTTATTCTTGCATATAATTTTGCTTCATGATATAAATATCATTGTGTTTTCTTATTAGTTTCATGTGAGGTTTATGGGTTATGAGTATTATGTTAAATTGTCTTATAATGCATGTATCACTTGTACTGTGAGATTCAGATCAACTCAAAAGCCCTATTCGGACGGTAAATGTTTCTCCTGACACCTTGAGATTGAAATAACATGATAATAGATGATGAACTCATGAAGCAGTGGAAGTTCATTCATAATTTTTGTGATGTGAAGCTCAAGTATGATCTGATGTTGATGTGATGATGATTTGATTATATGTTCATTATATTTGACTAGAACTAACAGACATGATCACAGATCCAGCAGAAACTGAATCAGTAGGACTGCTGGATCATTATTCAGAGGTACCACACGTCTTTACATGCAGTTCATTAATACTGAAACAGACAATCTGCAGTGCTTTGTCAAGAATTGTTTATAGTTTTATACCTTTGATTTCATTTACAAAGTCTTGATTCTGTCTATCATATGTGTAGGAGCCATTTATAGGTTTTATCATATTGTTTTATGTTTTTCTTACTTGCATGTTTTCTGGAGTTTGTGTGCGCCCTCTACAGGACAAACCATTCTGGAGTCTGTGTGCGCCCTCTACAGGACAAACCATTCTGAAGTCTGTGCGTGCCCTCTACAGGACAAACCATTCTGGAGTTTGTGTGTGCCCTCTTTAGGACAAACCATTCTGGAGTTTGTGTGCGCCCTCTACAGGACAAACCATTCTGGAGTTTGTGTGTGCCCTCTTTAGGACAAACCATTCTGGAGTTTGTGTGCGCCCTCTACAGGACAAACCATTCTGGAGTTTGTGTGTGCCCTCTTTAGGACAAACCATTCTGGAGTTTGTGTGCGCCCTCTACAGGACAAACCATTCTGGAGTTTGTGTGCGCCCTCTACAGGACAAACCATTCTGGAGTTTGTGTGCGCCCTCTACAGGACAAACCATTCTGGAGTTTGTGTGCGCCCTCTACAGGACAAACCATTCTGGAGTCTGTGTGCGCCCTCTACAGGATAAATCATTCTGGAGTCTGTGTGCGCCCTATACAGGACAAACCATTCTGGAGTCTGTGTGCGCCCTCTACAGAACAAACCATTCTGGAGTCTGTGTGCACCCTCTACAGGACAAACCATTCTGGAGTCTGTGTGTGCCCCATACAGGACAAACCATTCTGGAGTCTGTGTGCGCCCTCTACAGGATAAATCATTCTGGAGTCTGTGTGCGCCCCCTACAGGACAAACCATTCTGGAGTCAGTGTACGCCCTCTACAGGACAACATTCTGGAGTTTGTGTGCGCCCTCTACAGGACAAACCATTCTGGAGTCTGTGTGTGCCCCATACAGGACAAACCATTCTGGAGTCTGTGTGCGCCCTCTACAGGACAAACCATTCTGGAGTCTGTGTGTACGCCCTCTACAGGACAAACCATAAGATAAAGCCACAGGTGTCTAATGAGATGGCGTGGTCTACTGGGAGCACACGGCCTTTAGAGCTTCTTTCTCCCTTTCAATGTTTTTCTGGTGCTCTTGTAATTTGCAGCTTGAATTATTTTGTATTTTACTTTCAATGTTAAGCTGCATCAGTTTATTTTTGTAACATTCAAGATTAATAAATCAACTGTGATCTACTTCAATTTCCTGGATTTTAATGGATATAAAAGAGGAAAAAAGAGGTGTCTAAAATCTCCCCGGCAGACCCAAGAAGTGACAAACTCTTAAATCAAGTACCAGGTCACTACAATATGTCCATCTTTCCTGCAGTGATTGCAATTATTGTTGAGTTTGCAGTGTTTGCTGCTCCTGCTGTGATTCTTCTTCAGTTCATCTGTGTAAGAAGAGCTGGGGAGTTTTTCAGCCTCACACAATCCAAATTCTGGCCAGATGAGAACTAAGCCTGCTCTCTCACAAGTGTTTTTTTTTTTTTCCTCTCCATTTCTGTCTCCGCTTGAGTTTTGGTTCCTCGCCACTGTCACAGTTGTTTTGTTTAGTTGGGGACACTTCATTTCTGGCAGGATTGTAGACTTGATTGCACAAAAACTATCTGAACTGAACTGAGCTGAACACTGCCCAGCAAGCAATAGCCGTCATTTCAACGTCTCGGTTAAATATAGACCCGATATAGTCCGGCTATGTGTAACCCACTTCTAGCCCAAATAACCTTGAATTTGGTTTCATGTCGTTTTTTGGCAAAATAACTTGTGAGATGTATGATATTCCATCATGTAAGCAAAGTAACAGCGTTTACAAGGTGTTTGGTTTCATTTCTTTGACATGTTCAATACGTAGCCTGTGCGTAACCACGATTTAGCTCATAGTCTGAGCGGCTATCTGTAGCCCACTTATAGTCAAACATGATTCACTGTAGTTTTTGGCCAGACAGCGCATGAGATGGTTGATATCCATCATGTTCGCAGTGTCAATAATATCTACAGATATATAAGTGTCATTTCATTGGACGGGCTACGTATAGTCTGCTTTTAGCCCACCTGGCGAAATCGAGGCAATTTGGTCTAATTTTAACGGCTTGGCTATAGCCCTATACCAGTAACCAGACCAGCGATGAGCATGGCCAAAATAGCCTTAAAATTGTTTACATGTAATTTTCGCCCACGCAGCTTCTTATCAAATGCAAGTAAACTTTTGAATCATTTAAATTAGCATTATTTTATATTTTATTTATTAAACATTATTTTATTATTTTACATTATTAAATATAGCATTATTTATTATGCCAAAAATAATGCTAATTTAAATGTTTAAAAAGTTTACTTGGATTTGATAATATGACGCCATGCATCCCACAAGCTGTTAAATGTTACATTCATACACATTATATTATATTATTGATATTCGGCTGTCTTTCATTTTATAAATAAAAATGCAATTACAATTCCCAACCGCTAGATGGCAATTGTAGCCCTACTGAGACATGACTACTGGCAATGCGAGACATGAGAGTTAGAGATCAGTGTTGTGTTTTTATTTTTTTTTACACGAGAGAGCACTAAGTTTACTTGTCGGAGAGCCACGGGCAAACAACAAACGATAAAGGACATTCCTACTTGGTCTTGTAAGTATCTGTGTTTTCGTTTTTGACGTGTTCATTATTTATCTATATTATTTGTTATCATGTTTAGGAACCCTTACATTTTAGTGAAGGGAGCAGATCGTAGTCGATAGTGATCCGTGACTAGGCCCACGGTTCAGCATGCATGTGTTCAAAGGATTAATTGCAAAATTCAATAGAGTAAAAGTTTTATCATTTGTATGTGTTTACAAACTCAATCGATTTTAAAACTGTGCAAGAAGAGGCGAAAGAGTAAACAACAGAACAAACACAGCTTTGACAAAGATTAATCCATATCAATTTATACAGTGAACACACTCAGAAGAATTGGAGAAACTGAGGAGGAGTTTCAACATCTGGAAAAGATTAGGAGCAATGGTAAAAAAAAAAAAACCCTCTCCAAAACAACATTTCCTCATTAAAGCTCTCTTTGACAAAGTCCATCATTTATTTTAATTATTACAGAACAATGGCTTGTTAGATAAAGAGAGAGCATGAGCTAATTGAATAGAATATCTTTGTCATTGTACAAGTACAATAAGATTTATTTTGAAACTTACAAATTGATAGTAAAGCTTAAGAATACAAATAATAAGCGCAAATAGCTCAAATGTGCAATGCAGCATTAAAACCTAAACAGTACAAACAGAAAACATAATGAAATAAAATGGTAGGGGGTGAATTTATTATTCCATGTACATTTGAGGTTAATGTTTGTACTGGGCTACTTTTTAGTTACAGCAGCTATCACTGTGTTGTTATGAAGTCAGTTGAGCCAGACAATTTTGGAGGCAGAGGCAGATTGTGGGGGCACTAATAGGGAAAAACTTAAACTGCTGGAATAAAGAGTTTTAAAGGGTTAGTGATGGAAAACTTGCAGGTCAATGGGCATCAGTGTTTAAGGTTGGTTAACACGCGTACACGGACACATATAATACCAAGAGTTTTAAAGGGTTAGTGATGGAAAACTTGCAGGTCAATGGGCTTCAGTGTTTAAGGTTGGTTAACACGCGTACACGGACACATATAATACCCGCCTGACATTGGCATGTGTTATTCAGGTGTCAAAGTTGTGCAGAGTTGAAGGAAGAAACCTCAAAGACAGTGCCAGAAGGATGCTGGACAGGTGTCCAAGCAGAAGAGAATGACTCCCTGTCACAATTAGTGTAATTAAAGTAAAAAATTATGTCAAGCTTTTCTTGTGCTTTCTTTTTCTTTCTTATTTGGCAGATGCTGTGATGACCAACTTCCCGGCAGCAACAGAGTTGGACTTGAGGAATGCAGTTGGGAAGCATTTTAAACAAGAAATAAAACCAATAATTAATCATTTACTTTAAGTTCACTGTTTGTTGTTTTATTTGTTAAAAGTAAACCAACACAAGGATTCATCTCTTTTTTATGTTGTCATTTATCAGTAATGTTTTAATGTTGTGATAACATGCTCTTGATCTGTATTAGATTTTAGAGTTATTTAACATTTTATTTTTTCATTTTTATATTTTTATTATCTTAAGTTGTTAAAAACTCCAGATTTTTATCATAATATTTATATTTAAGTGTATTGTATTTATACAATTTTATTTTGTCATTAATTCTTTTGTATTTTTATCATTTTGTATTGTCTTAAGTTGTTAAAAATTTTATTTTTCTTAATAAAAGCTGTATGTATGGATTGCCATTTTGTTGTCTATTAGACGTATATATGTAGTCGTTTAATAGCCATCTAAT